CAGAATAAAGTTTAAAATCCTTCTTTTCAGAGCATTTAGCTACCAAGCTCCTTTACTGTGGAATCAGCTTCCCATTTATGTTAAGGAAGCAGATACGGTCTCCACATTCAAGGCCAGGCTTAAAACACTCTACTTTAATTTAGCATATGGTTAGGTTCTTTGTCTGGTTTGGTTTACACACTTGGTGTGCAATCCACGAATCTTTGGTGTTGTAGCTTGGGCTAGCCTAGCCGTGGCTGCTGCTGTCTCACCTTTGTTCGGACACGGTCTCTATATTCAAGGCTAGGCTTAAAATAGTCCTCTTTAGTTTAGCATATGGCTAGGAAGGTAAGACTCAGGGAAGGCTAAACTCCTCAAACTGTCAGTCAAGCTGCATAGGGAGCCCCCTGCTGGAAAATATGGTAACTTGAGCACTACCTTCTCCTCCTTCCTACTTTATCTATCTGCATTATTAAGATTTTGACTATAGTGTGTTCATTGCTATTCACCCGTTGTCTCATTATCTGTTTCATGACGCGACAACGGCACGTCTGAACCGGCCCTATCTATCTACACCTGCGGACTGCCCTGCCCGACCCGCCTGGGAGCACTTCAGTCCTGCACCGGACCTGGCCACGCTCTGCGGCCGCTATGTGGCATTGGTCCATGTTCTGTAGCTTAGGTCGTGGATCAGTAGCCCGTCCCTCCGTGTTGAGCGGATCCCTTTCTCAATTGTGGGTCTTCTCGAGGTTTCTCACTTTTATTCCCACTGGGTTTTTGTGAGTTTTTCCTTGCCGATGCAGGATTGTCTGTTGGACAGTTAGTGTCCAACAAGAAGGAATTTGATGATCCAGGACACTTTAACATTCTACAACATGTATGACATTTATCCACATTCATGGACATGGGTCTCTCCCTATGGACCAATACCATGTGTTCTCTGATCTGTGTTGGTGATTTCATTGGTTTTGTTAAGTCTCTGAGATGATGCTGTTGTGATTTAGGGCTATACAAGAAAAAGTTGTTGTTGTTGTTGTTGAAGTTGTTGTTTTGATTTCTTTCTGGAGGCACAGGTACATATAGACACAAAGAAACAGGTACATATAGACACAAAGAAACAGGTACATATAGACACAAAGAAACAGGTACATATAGACACAAAGAAACAGGTACATGTAGACACACAGAGACATGCGTTACTTACGTTGAGGTGCAATTGTTTTCATTTCACTGTAGACCGCTGTACATGGCCATGAGTCGGCCTGAACAAGCTGCAGGAGGCCCACAATCATGCTTTTAAAGTTCTTATGAAAAAGCCACACCGGAGCAGTGCAAATGAGCTATTCGTCACCTCACGACTGAACACTTACAGTCTGTACAAAGGACATAATGTACAGTTTCATCTGTCGTCTGAAAAAATCAGAAATGCGTCTAGCGTTGGAAAACATCAGGTTCAGGTCTACTCTAGTTCAGTCCTAGATGGTCAGACACCGGTGGCCACCAGTCATAACTGTTTGTTTATTATGTTTTGTCTGTCTGTATGTTTTAAAGCCATTAATGTTTACTTAAAGACTAAACACCAAATCAACTTTTTTTTAACTCATAAACTGCATAAGTATGTTTATTGTAGTGCTGTCTACATATCCTGGTCATTTTTTTGACATTTTAGTTCAAATTAGATAAAATATCACTTTTGAGCCAAAAAACGCTGTGTGGTGCCCTCTCAACCTTTTTGGTGGTACTACATTAGAATTTGGTCCTGGCCTCTCCATTGACTCTGAAGTTCTCTATGACATCAGTTTTGTGTGACGTCAGTCTGTCAGAGCCAGTGATATGAACCCATTCAACTCTCACACACGCCCCAGCTGCAGTTTGGAGTATTCTGGCGCCATCTAGTGGATTAAAATTAAATTACATGAGTCATTCTGAGATTATTGATTGTGATTAGGTTCAGGTGTGTAGCTTTACAATTATCTTAGTGTGTAAACAAGGGTGGAATGAGACTTTCTGGTCTGTAAACTATTGCTTTAAGCAGCAATGACAACTGTCTGTTTTTTTTTTTTGTGACAAATGAGCTGTCAATCACAGCCCAGACCACGCCCAACTCTAAGCCCCCCTTCTTGTCCCTTAGTCCTCCAGGCAACGCCCTTTTTAGAGAAAATTTTCAAATCTTCATGTGGGCGGAGTAAGGCTGGGCACAGGTGTTTGGTCGCTCTTTAAAAACTTGAACAGTTTATTTAAATGTGCCATTGGCTTTGTTTTTGTACTGGAGCAAATAGGCGGCTCATTGAGTAATTTGTTTGAAGGCACCGGGGTGGGATTAAATATGTTTTCTTCTTCCCACTCCTTTTCGAGTATCTTCTTTTGTGTATATAATATTTTTAATTTTTAATTATGTTAATGTATTCTGTAAACTGTATTCTTTCAGTTTCTCAAAATACTTAGAGAAACTGAAAGAATACGGTAACCAATGTAAACTTGAGGGCTTTAAGCTAAAGACAGTGCTTTTCCAGCAAAAAAGAAATAATCCAAATCAACAGTTATCTTGAACATAGACCTAGCTTAGTGAAAAAATCTTCTTCATTCAAAAATAACGAATAACAACTTAGACTCGGACACTTTCCTTTCCCCTTAAGAATGCTGTCTGTCTCTTTGTGTGTGCTTGTGAACATATGCCTCCAGCCAGAGTTGTCATTCTCCGGTGACTGAGGGGTGTCCAAACCGGAAATCTTCAGGTTAAGACTGAACTCTCTTGAGGAAACGGGTGGAGTCTGCTCTGCTCCTGTTGGGTCTGATAGAAAACCTGCAGCCACAGCGGCCCTTTCTGGACCGGTTTGGACACCCAACTAGCGAAGCTATCATGTAGCGTGGCTAGCATGTTCGCCGATGCGGAAGTACCGTCTAATAATAAAATAAACGTGTGGTGCACCTCCGCGAACACGTACTGCTGTTATATTAAGTCTATGGAAGGTCTCTGGAAACAGAGACGCTGCAGAGCTTCCTTCTTGGAGAAGAAAACCGCTATCTTAACTCCGTTAGCATCAAAGTCCGCCCGCTACTTCCACCGGGCGCCACCGCAGCCCAGGACTTCTGGTCTGAACACACCTAGCCTCTGAAATTTGAGAATGTGCGTCTACTGCACGTGGAAACTACGTTCCAGCGTTGGCAGTCTGAACCCCCCGTCAGACAGCGCTCACGTACTACTTCTCACTGCCATCTTTGTATAGAGCAGGGGTGCCTAAAGTTGACCCGCCAGACGGTTTCAACTCCTATAGGAGGTTTCTATCTGCGTCCCTCAGGCTGGCTGGACACACTGATGTATGTCTGGGGTCGAGCGGGCACGCCCACACTGCTTCACATGCCGCTTTCCGATACTTTACTGTTGTATCGAGATACAGGCCTATTTCATGGTTCACATCAACTTGCACTAAAATGTTTTTAAATCAAACACACTTATCAAAACAATTGGTTTATTTTATTTTTTGGAGCAATTTTATGTTTTATCAATTTGAGAGGATCTCCCATGAGCCTTTTGGGCTTGTAGGAAAGTATAGGAAAGCCAAGCAGAAGTGCACCCCTAGTGTTAGGTTTCTGTTTTGCACATCGGCCCACTGGCAATATTTTACTTTGGCCCTTGGAGCCAAAAGGTTTGGGCACCCCTGGTGTAGAGTCCTGTAGTCCAGGACCTAAGCTACAGAACGTGGACCAGTGGCCGCTGAACGTGGACAGGTCCGGTACAGGACTGAAGAACTCCCAGGCGGGTCGGGGAGGGCAGTCCGCAGGTGTAGATGGAGGAGGCCACACACACACACACACACACACGTATGTGAGTGTGTGTGTGTGTACACACACACGCGTTTTTACCAACATTGACCCCTTACACTGGGCATGTTGGGTAAATGGCCAGAAGCCGAAAGAGCAAGAGAAACTATAGGAATAAGTCCTAAAGCACATAGCCCTACAGTCAGAAGGTCTCGGGCCGACCCCTCTGTGCAAATTCTCCCTAGATCCAACTCTGTCAGATAGTTACTGTTCCCAAATCTGTTAAAAAACACATTTGGGAACATAATCTGACACAGATGGGTTTATGGGGCAAATGTGCAGAGTAGACAGCCCCTATGACCATTCCTCACTCTCTCACACACACACGCTCTCACACACACATCTACCAACCTAGACCCTTAAACTGGGAACGTTCGGTAAAAAGCCAGAAGCATACAGAGCCAGAAAAACTAATAGGAATAAGTCCAAAAGCACTTTTCCCTACAGTCAGAAGGTCTCGGGCCGACCCCTCTGTGCAAATTCTCCCTAGATCTAACTCTGTCAGATAATTGCTGTTCCCAAATCTGTTAAAAAACACATTTGGGAACAGTATCTGACACAGATGGGTCTTTGGGGCGAATGTACAGATTTGAAAGCCCCTATGACCATTTCTCACTCTCTCCCACACACACACACACACACACACACACACACACACACACACACACACTTTTACCGACCTTGACCCTTTAATGGTGCTTGGTCGGTGACTGTCTGGCTCCTTAAGATGCCAGAGAGTACAAGCCATATCCAAGCACTACAACAGGGACTGCCCAAAGAGCCTTTTTTGTGCCGGACTTGAAGGATGACCAGAAACCTCCTTGGTTTTCAACTGTGCTGGCCTCCTCCGTACTCACCTGAGGCTCTGGCTCCGGTCGCTGGTCTCTGGTCTGCTGCTGGTCTCTGATCTGCTGCTGATCCCTCAACACCTGAATGCTTTCATCTTCTTTGGCGATTAAAGCCCTGCGAGGTTGACGTGCCAGAGAGTACAAGCCATTTCCAAGTGCTACAACAGGGACTTCCAAAAGGGCTGCCTTTGCACCGGACTTGAAGTTTGACAAGAAACCTCCTTGGTTTTCAACTGCGCTGGCCTCCTCCGTACTCACCTGAGGCTCTGGCTCCGGTCGCTGGTCTCTGATCTGCTGCGGTACCCTCAACACTTGAATGATTTTATCTTTTTCGGAGATTAAAGCCCTGCGATGTTGTATCTCCGTCTGCACAGTCTCAAGGCGTTCCCTGAGAGTGTTTTCCTGTTCCTGTCGGTGGACTATTGCGGGGAGGCCCTGTGATCCGTCTCCATCCGGAAGATTCTCAGTGAGAGCCTCTGAGAGGGCTGGATCTGTCTGAGTCCCTTTCTCAGCAGATGCTACGTCTGTCTGAGTCCCAATCTCTACGAACCTAATCTCTGTCTGAGTCCCTACCTCTGTCTGAGTCCCTACCTGTGTCTGAGTTCCTATCTCTACGAACTCTACATCGGTCTGAGTCCCCAGCTCTGCCACTTCAGTCTCAGTACCCTCGACTGTCTCTGCCCCTTCTGCTTTGATGGCCTCACGAAGCTGCTTTATCTTTACGTTCAGCTGTGAAACCTCGGAGAGATGATTGCTATAAATCTCTGTCAAATCGCTCCAACTATCCGCCTTTTTTTTCTTTACTTCTTCCCCCGTTGCTCTTTTCACCTCTTCAATTGCCCTCTCCCTCATTTTGATATCCCAACGCAGCTTGTCAAGCATCAAGGTCAACCTGAAGACTTCTAATTCATCTGACCACTCCATATTCTTAATCAGGCTAGGTGCAAATTAGAAAACCTTTAATAACTGACAATTTACTCCCTCAGAACAAACACTAACCTCTCATTCTCAAATCAGTCTCTTAACCGGATTTCCTTCAGTGCCCAGAAACCCAACCACACAGGGCCTTTCCACCCTGACTCATGTCCACTTGAGTCAAAGGTTACTACGGCAACCTCTGTGATGTCATGAGATTTGAGAAGTTTCCGTAGCAACGTCGCCGTGTTCAATGATTCTGGAATTTGGTTGCTCCGGCTACCAGAATTCCGGAACATCACACTCACTTGGGTTTTTAGAGTTTTTCCTTTGTCGATTGCTTTGCCAATAATCAATAAAACGTATGAACATTTATGGACATTGGTCATCGGCCCCTTGTTTAGAGTTTCCTGTTTTTGAACTGTTTGATTCTCTGATCTGGTGTTGACGAATCGACAGTTTGGAAAGTCCTCCGAGATAACGACTGCTGTGGTTTAGGGCGATGCAAAAATAAATGGAATTGAAACGTACGGACTCTCGCTGTCACTTTAGTTCAAACCAGATGGATTGTTGTTGTGACTGGATTCTGTTCTGAGCTTTGAATGAGAAACATCCACAAGGATTGACATCTGACTGAGCTGAAGTTGGCTGAGTGGGAAAAATGCTGATGATCTACATGAGTTTTATCACAGAGCTGTCACACTTCTGAACTACGGCCGTATTAAAGCACATCAGACACACTTTAATGTCATGTATAAACTAGCAATAGCAGCGTCACTCAGTCTGGCATATATAGGCAAATACTGAATACTGTCGTTAATATGATCCTATATTTGAGCTACTGAACGACTGTTAGCAGCTAAAATGCATTGTGTTGCATTGTTCTGACATCCCTACAGTGGGAAGTTGAATCTAGTCCTTTGTTTTTTATATCTCAGATTCAGATTCAGATTCATTTTATTCGCCATTTGCAGTAACACTACATTGGAATACATTAGTAAAAGTTCCCAGTGTGCACAGGACAAGTACAGACATAAAACAACATTAAAAGACTATCTAACTAACTATATGGCGATAATATCTGTCTAATATAACTAGTACTGCCTTACTTACTTGCGCGTACTACCTCGTCATTGACAAGAGATCTCCAAGTGCCCATCTCAATCTTGGTCTTTCTGCTCCAGCTGTCTCCACGTGTATCCCATCCTCTTGGTGTCTGCCTCCAGGTCTTGGGGCCACGGGTTTCAGGGTCCCTGGAACACGTCGCCATAAACCTTGGGGGTTCCATGTCAGCGCTTGTCTAGTTACGTACATTGGAGAGTGGCTTGCGGAACGTGTGGCCTTCTACTTACATTTCAGTGCACTTTTTAGAACAGATTCAATTATATGGTTGTTATCCTGAGGTAATAGGCTTTAAAATTAAGTATAACACGCCATAGTTTCCCATTACCATCAATGCTGCAAGTGGCTGTATTACAGATCATTGAAAATCATGTCAGCGGCCTCTGAAGATGGTGTCTTGGGCCGGATTTGGCAGGTCTGTCTATTCAAATACATTTGCCTTGCCACAAAAGGAGAAACAGGTATCTGAGTCATAGATAATCTTACTTGAAAGAAAGAGCCCTGGGAGTCACTATATGACTGAGCACACACAAAAACTAGTCCTGTTTTAGAGCTAGGAATAGTTACGTTGATCTCACTACATAGATATTTTTTTGTGGATTCAAAGTTATGTACCTCAGCTTTAATCTAATATCTTTTTTTATTACTAAAAACCTGGATTCTTTTAATGCTGTCGTCTTTCTTGTTCGCAGACGTGGCTTGTATCTCGCTGGTCCCGAATGTAGATTGAGGTTTTTTGTTAAAAAATCTATTTAGACCAGGGCTGTTTGGGGCCAAACTTATACAAATTTATTATACATATTTTTTACTTCATGAAGGTTTTTTGAGAAATGACTTGTTTCATATACGCGGGGATATGCTCTCACTTCCGCCTCCGTCGAGCAAAGACGTGTCTCAGACGCTCCTGCTTCTGACTGCTTGCTATCTCCTGTTTTTGTCTTTTTCCTGGAGTTTTGCCACAGACAACTTTAACAAGAATGGAAATGATTAACTGGTCCCTCAACGCAATTAATTCTATCTTTTCAACACGTAAGCGTGGGTCTGGAGAGCCCGTGTGCCCGGACGGGACTTCACGAGCGGGGTATACTCTTGACAGCTGGAACAAGTTTCAGCCCCTCTGTCTGTCGACCCTGTCTATTGAAGATTCGGAAGACGTATATATCTTTGGCATTTTGGTGGTGGGAATCCTCCTGTTTGGGTTTGGAGCTGTTCTCTTCTACCACAAATTCGGAGGCATGGCAGTTCGCAAGATGCACGAGCTGCTGGCCGACAAAATTGATGGGATGTACAAGGAGCTTAGCCGCGTCGTGGTTGAGAGTGCCGTGTCTGGACAAAGGAGAGTGGTTTTGGTGGAACAGTTGATAAAAGATCTCGCAGCTCGTTCACTCGAAGGGAATAAAACTCTGGAGTTGAGATTGAATGACATCGTTTGCCAGGCTTGAACTCTCTGACCCGGCTTGGATTTGCCCCTGTGTACAGAGGTCTGAGGGCGCCGCAATTCGGTTTAATTGGATTTAATAGAATATCTGCCTGCTTTTAACTGCCACATTGCATTTAATATTGTCCCCCTGAGGCGATGTGTTTTCTCCTCCTGTGCCTTCTCTCCACTCTTATCTCACATTCCTACGGCCAAGGCCATAATAACAAAAGTCCCATCTACAACAACTCACACTATTCAGTCTCCAGCTTGGATCCCCTACCCCCGCCTCCCTCTACCTATCCATCTTACTCCCTCCCTCCCCTCCACTCCTCACTGTGTTTCCGACTCACCCCCCTCCCTGACCCCGCCCCCCTCTGACAGCCACAATGGCCGGCTGTCGGAGGTGCTCATCCCGAGAAAAAATCCGTGCTTTATACAAAGCACAATGTGTCTATCCAACTGTCTGTGAAACTGTATGTTATTGCTCTCTGTTGTTTATTCTACTGTTTGTCGCATGGCGCCGTAAAGATGGCGCCGTGGCAAGAGCTCTGGTGTGTGTCGTCTTCTCTGTCTGGTGCACACCGGGGTAGTCTTGCACAGTTTTTCCAATGTGGTTTTACTGCAAATGGCAAATAAATGAATCTGAATCTGAATCTGACTGGAAAATGTGAAAAAACCGCATCTGTGCATGCGTCAGCTGCACGAGCCCCATTTATTTAAACGAGTTTACTTTAAAAATTCACAGCAAGTAAACTAGAGTGGTCCAAAACACCCCCCTCAGCATTGACACACATGTGGAACGGAGCTTTGGGCCAAGAGCGACTTTTGGATCATCCTGTAAAGGTGTTTTCCAGAGGTAAGAAGAGGCTATATGTTAGCATTGGCTAATTCTTATTCAAATAGCACAACCCCCACAAATGCAATGATAAAAACACATTGGCCCATAAACAGTAGACACCAATGTCCACTGATGTTGATAAAGTATTTAAGTCTATAACCACTGTCCTTACACCTTTCATTGACAAGGAACAACTCTTAAAAACCCAGTGGGAGAAACTCTCTAGTATCTCACATCAATAATACCAATCCATCTCTACATATCGAAACACGGTCACAAGTTTCCCCTCAAATTACAGTAAGTGCATGCGAATAAATGAGCATTCTACCATCAATAAGCTGCTGCTGCTGCTGCTACATTAATTACCGGAAAATCCCCCAGTGTCACGCATCAAACTTGTAAAAACTCTCTTTGTGTTTTGAATTTGAAAAGATATCCACCTCTCGAATTAGACGAGATGAAACTTTAATTATCCCTGTGGGGAAAATGTTATTGCTGCATCAGGGAATAGGACAAGAATAGATCAAATATGGACGATTGCCAAGAGCCCGTGCCGGTAAATTCGCAAGCAGAGAACTGGGTAAACAATGGGATGTGGACAAAAGCTGTTGTTTGACTCTGGATGGGTTTAAAAAAAATGCGATCTTTCCAAAACACTTTGAATTGATGTAATTACTGTGATTGTTTGTAGACGAAGTGTGGCCTCTGTGCCTCTGCATACACCCAGATGGTTCAAAACAGTCAACAGCCTCTAGTGGGAGCCAAACTAATAAAAACATTAGCTTTTAATACCTGGAAAGCTAACTGTGTATTGTATATACGATATTTTTTGCACAATTAGGCGCTCATAAAAGCCTTTAATTTCAACCATGTGCCTTATAATACACTGCATCTTATATATGAAAATAAATGCATATTTTAGTAATGCGCCTTTTAATCAGGTGTGCCTTATAATGCAAAAAATACGCTACTTAAGTACTTCATTTGCACCATAGTAGAGAAATGTCAGTGTTGCATCAGCAGTTAGAGAAGGAAAAAGGAACACACAAGTTGGTTTCAAATCTGCAGAACACAATTTCACATATATTTACTCTAAAACCTGTTTGAAAAGGTGTTGGAAGAAGTAAATCCTTTTTTTTTCCAACCCCCTCTCACCACTCAACACAATACTACACAGACTACAATACAACTAATTGTCATACACACGACAAGTTTGATACTGTGCAGTACATAGAGTAACAGAAAATACCCTACTATAGAGTATTAGACAAACAAAACACCCTAACCTACAGTTGACATTTCAAGAATAAACACTGAGAGCTACAGGTGACACTCAGAATAACACTGAGGACCTACTGGTGTCCGTCAGAATAACACTGAGACCTACAGTGTCATTTTGAACAGCTCTCATTCACACCAATGGAATGCTTGAGAATTTTT